AATGTTCCCTGAAGCACGTACCATAAAATATCAGCTGCCAGGCGAAGATCTCGATGCCTTAGTCTCTGTATCTTCTGATGAAGATTTACAAAACATGATGGAGGAATGTATTGTGTTTGGTAATGGAGGATCTGAGAAACCGAGGATGTTCTTGTTTTCAAGCAGTGATATAGAGGAGGCTCAGTTCGTTATGGAACATGCAGAAGGTGATTCTGAGGTTCAGTATGTTGTTGCTGTCAATGGGATGGATCTAAGTTCACGAAAAAGTTCTCTTGGAACAAATGCTCCTGGGAACAATTTGGATGAACTACTTCAAGGGAATTTTGATAGGAAGATCAATCGGGCTATTACAGAACCAGCAGTAGCTTCGGTTGCTCCGTTGGCAGGTAATGAATCTCTATCAGCAAGCCAAACTTCTCAACCTGTAACAGCTATTTCTACTGGAAATGAGCCATTTTCACAGCCTTATCTAGGACAGCAATTGCACTTCACCGGACTTGGTAACCACCAAGTTTATACATCAGCTCACATGGCTAGCATTGGCTATATAGATGAGAATGGATCTGGTCCTTTGCATGTTCAACCACAACCACATTATATCCCTTATTCTGTGAATCCTGAAACACCTCTTGAAACCCTGGTGCCTCACTATCCACAAAAACCTGAGCAAGGACTTTTGCGTGAGGATCAGATCTTTCATGTACAAGATTCAGAAGCTTCATCAAAGGAGGCCAAAATGAGAAGAGATGACTCATTTCAGAAGGTAAATGATCCTGCTAATGTGTCTATTGTTGAGAGCAATCTTTCGGCAAAGGAGCCAAAGATGAAGAGAGAGTCATCAACCCCAAGGGTCAGTGAGTATTCTGTTTCCTCTATGCCTGATGATTTGATAGTTCCAGATCACCTTGTGAAGGAAGAAGCTACAATTGTCACTCAAACATCCAGTTCAACACCAGATCTAAGTTCTTCAGCTCTTCCAGATAAAATTCTAAGAAAATCCCAGGACCATGTTGAGAAAAATCTGTCAGCAAAGGAGCCAAAGATGAGGAAAGAAAACTCCACCACAAGGGTCAATGAATATTCCGTTTCCTCTGTATCTAGTGATTCTATGGTCCCAGATCACGCCCTCAAGGAAGAAGCTCCTAATTCCATGAAATTATCCAATTCAATTCCAGATCCAAAATCCTTTGTTTATCCAGAAAAAAATCTTAGAACACCCCAGGACTATGTTCCGAAAACGGGTGCCTTAGATACAGCAAATGAAGGCACGGCAAAGAATCAGGACAAGCCATTTTGTCTGCCTGGAGGACTCTCAGCATCTGGACATGGTACTTCAGATGCTAATTCAGCTAATTTGAGCAATGTTGACCAGCCTGTGATTCATCATAGAGTTTTTCATTCTGAGCGCACTCTACGAGATCCAACAGAAACTAACCGTTTGTCTAAATCTGATGATTCACTTGCCTCTCAATTTGTAATGGCTCAAACAACTTCAGATGCATTCCTACCTATCAGCGAATCATCAGAAACTTCTCATGAAGCAAATATGGAGTCCCAGAATGTTCATTCTACCGCACCAGTAAGATCAGCTCCGGAAAGCATCTGGACAGCGGATGGTAGTATGTCACAGTCTGAGAAAAGAAACTTGGAGTCTAACGTCCCAGAGCATGTAAGTCAGAAAGAGACTTCAGTAAAGGCTGTTCCACGAGGACACATTGAGAAGGGGGATATAGTTGTTGATATAAATGATAGATTTCCTCGTGATTTTCTTGCTGATATATTGAAAGCGGAAGAGTCTCTGGACTTCCCTGAATTAGAGCCATTGCATGCCGATGGGGCTGGTGTGAGTTTAAATATTCAGAATAATGACCCTAAAACTTGGTCGTATTTTCGAAATTTGGCGCAGGATGAGTTTGAGAGGAAGGATCTATCCCTTATGGATCAGGACCACCCTGGATTTCCCACTTCCCTGACTAACACCAACGGAGTTCCTATTGATTATAGCTACCCACCATTGCAGTCTGAGAAAGTTGCTTCAAGCCAGATAAATTCACAAATCCAATTTGATGGAAATATCCAGCCAGAGATGTCTACCACTACCATAGCTGATTTGAACACAGTAAACACACAAGAAGATTATGGTCAGTCACAGATCAAAGGTGCTGAAAGCACAGATGTAACTCTGGTAAGCTTATTATATTCAACCTAAATATGGAAAATCTAAGAAAGTTTTACTACTGGCAAAAAACCTGTCTCAACTGATAATTACTAAATTCTATAAATTTGGCTTTGGATATGCAGAATACTGGAGTTCCTCTCATTGACTTTATGGTTGCAGATAGTGGCATGAGGTCTCTGCAGGTATGCATTTGTCAGCGTATGGCTCAACATGTTTACGAGTTGTTCCATATGCCCCTCTCTTTTTAACCATATACTATGCAACGATTGACCAACGGGTCTGGATAATTGTTTCTGGTTATTTTAAAAGATGGCTTTGGTACATAGAAGTATTAGTCTGTAGCGGTATAGACCCTTAGTACCCGAATGACTTTTATATTCTGTCAACCAAGTTATGACTTTCCAATGCAACCTTTTTAGCTGTCTTTTCTGTGTTTGCTACTTGTCTGCTCTTGGTCAAAGGAGTTTTGTAGAATAGGCATAATGTAGCCCTGGCTGGTGAAATCATTGGAACTTTTGTAATCTTTGTCAATATTGCTCATGGTTTTCCCATTGATGGAGAAATAATTAAATGATTGTATTTATTTTGTTTCTGTTTCTGTTTCAGGTCATTAAAAATGACGACTTGGAAGAACTGAAGGAATTAGGTTCTGGTACCTTTGGAACTGTTTATCATGGAAAATGGAGGGGAACAGATGTTGCTATCAAGCGGATAAAAAGGAGCTGTTTTATTGGTCGTTCATCTGAACAAGAGAGATTGGTGAGCGTTCTTTCTTAACGAGTTGAGATTTTTTTGGATTTGTAGAAGTTCATTGACCAATGACCACTTAGTGTTTCTGTTAAAGTATATGTATGCTTTAGGGTATAGAGTACTGCTAAAAGACACTACACAATATCTCAACCCAGAACCAAGCTTTTTGTTGTCAATATTTCTTTTGCCTGAAGTGGTTACTAGATGCTTGTTATGAGCTACAAGTTGGCATTCCCTGTAAAATCTTACTTGATTTCTCCTCAGTGACGATTCTTACATTCAAGAAAGTTGCATTAGTTTTAACTGGTTTTAAGTTTCACAAACCACTGATTGAATTTTTCAGACCTCCGAGTTCTGGCATGAAGCTGAAATTCTTTCAAAGCTTCATCATCCAAATGTTATGGCATTTTACGGCGTAGTGAAAGATGGACCAGGAGGAACTTTAGCTACAGTGACAGAGTACATGGTCAATGGATCGCTTAGGCATGTTCTGCTCAGCAACAGGTAATTGTTTAATACAGCTCGTCGTAATCCTTTCTTCCTCAATTTATCTAGTTTTATATCAATCCAAATGGATGCAGGCACCTTGATCGACGTAAGCGACTTATCATTGCAATGGATGCAGCTTTTGGAATGGAATATTTGCACTCAAAGAGCATAGTGCATTTCGATTTGAAGTGTGATAACTTGCTTGTCAACTTAAAAGATCCCGCCCGTCCCATATGCAAGGTGACTTCTAGGACAGTTTGCGAACAGAATGATGCACTATTTCATTTTGTTTATTTATGTAACAAAGATATGATGCTTTATGCAGGTTGGTGATTTTGGTCTGTCAAAGATAAAAAGAAACACTTTGGTCACTGGCGGCGTAAGGGGAACCCTCCCTTGGATGGCTCCCGAGCTACTTAGTGGCAGCAGCAGCAAAGTTTCTGAAAAGGTACGAGTCCATAACATCCCTGTGCAAGTGAATGAATTCCAATGCTCTCCAATTTATTGTATGTTGTTGTATGTTTAGTTTTAATTCCCTTTAAATGATTCTGCAAGTAATGTTTTGCCATGGATACTTCACGTCCAACAGGTTGATGTATTCTCTTTCGGAATTGTCTTGTGGGAAATTCTTACTGGCGAAGAACCCTACGCCAATATGCATTATGGGGCAATAATCGGTAAGTTACTCTCTCTTTTCTCATTTGCTCGTTCATTCCTTACCAACAAGGGTGTGTACAGTTTAGGTTTGTCTGTTTCGGCAATTGTTTAGAAATTTGAACCTGCCCCTGGTTTTGAAACGGGTACATCCCTGATATTCCCAAATTTGAAAAATAGACCAATATGTGGGCATTTCTAAAGCTGAGTCAGGCAGGCTAACCCGCTTTAACATTCCTATGTACATTCAGTTCTGACTTAACTATTTGCAGAAATGAAAATCAAGCTCCTCTGTTTTGGTAGTCTGATTCTCTTACTCATTTTTTTACTTGTGCGACTAAAAATTGTAGGAGGCATAGTGAACAATACATTGAGACCAACCGTGCCAAACTACTGTGACCCGGAGTGGAGAATGCTGATGGAACAGTGTTGGGCTCCTGACCCATTTGTTCGGCCTGCCTTCCCGGAAATAGCCAGACGTCTCCGCACCATGTCCTCCTCTGCGGTCCACACAAAACCACACGCTGTCAACCACCAAATCCACAAGTAATCTGTTTGTTGCTGGTACGTAAATCGTAAAAAGAAAAAATGGTTTGTGTATAAATATATCCTTGCTACTTCTTTGGGATTTGAGTGCTACAGTTTCAAGGTGAGAAACGATTGTGTTGATTTGTACAAGAAACACTAAAAAGCACATATTGTATAGCCATTTCTTTTTATTATTATTGAGTGTAAGTAAATTGGTTTGGTACAAGGACTTGGACTCTTCTTTTTCTGTACTCAGGTGTCTTTTCCTTTCAGTAATAGCAAAACAAAAGTTCAATTTTAAAAATATACATGACTTTTATTATAACAGGTTTACTTAGATCTATAATTTTTGTTGTGGAAAATTAGCTCTTCCAATAGATATGCGAAATACTTTTGCTCATGCACCAAAATTTTGATATAACTATACAACATCATAGACATTACATACAAGCAAGAGTATAAAAACAAATGCATATACAATACAAACCTGTTGTAAATCATCATTATACATAGAAAATCTGACCAACATTCAAAAGACTCTCCTGAGGAACATTGTAGATAGCACTATGCTCTCTACAAATCTTCCTAAGAAACGCATATACATAGTCAATGGCTATCTTCTTGTAGAACCTCGCTTCCCTCCTGGCTCGAACCACCGTGTTACCCATTATGTGCACCACTCCCGCATCACGGCACCCATTTATGAACTCCAGCTCGTCTACTCCACCACTCATCTGGCTGGATGCTGTCACCGTGTGACTCACCCGTTTCACAGGCGTTATTGACTCTACTGAATCAAATGTATCAAAAGTTGCCAGATTCTCATTCTCGTTTCCGTTCCCAACCGTGTCTTTGAGCTGTTGCTGGCTTCCGCAGATGCTGTACTCATCGGAATCCGAACAGCCCCCTTCCATCATCGATTCAAGGCGGACATACAAGAAGAGGCTCTCAAAGAGGCGTTTCTCGAAGTCATCATCTTTCTTGTGCAAGTCTCTGTATCCGTACCTGTTAACAATGGAGACGATCACATATATATTAGTGTTCTTTCAGTTAAACCAACACCCCTAGTAATCACCGGGTAACACTGTTTCACATGGGTTAGTTACCTGGCGACACAACGGAACATGTGGAAGTTCTTTGGACCAATCCTTTTAACGAGGAACCGCTCTTCCTCGGGGACGGTGTAAACTGGGAGGTTCTTGACGCACACGAACACCACAACGGAGTGAATGGCCGGTAGGTTTGTAATGAAATGAGAGAAAATGTGAGGGACTCCACTGGCTAGCTCCGTGTAAACGAGACCAACCCCGGGAACCCGAACAAGTCCAAGGCTAGGACCAAGTCCGATTATCCAAGCCATTGAGACTTTACTGTGCATTTCAAACTCGTATCGCTTCAAAGTTCCGTAGTGCCATACCGACATGATGAGGAGAAAAGCTGCAGCTATTACAAGCGGTACCCAACCACCTTGGTCAATTTTGAAAAGCATGGCCGAGAAGTAGGTGCATTCCACGACAAGTGAGAGGATGGTGAATATGAGAACCAGAACCCAATGGCAACGCCACACGAGGATCATGATCAGCGTCATAAGAAGTGTTGTCACGAGCATGACAATCACTACTGCGGTCCCATAAGCGTTTCCTATCTGACTCTGGTTCTTGAATCCAGCAGTAACAGCTATGCAAAGGATCATTAGGATCCAATTGATGTCAGGAACGTAAATCTGACCGAGGAATTTCCTAGAAGTATGCACCACTTTCACTCTTGGAAAACACCCGTGGGCTAGAGCTTGCTTGACTAAGGAAAACGTCGCCGATATCGTGGCTTGGCTCGCCACAATCGCTGCAGCTGTTGCAATAATGAACATTGGCCAGTATACACTTCCTGCAAGAACATATGTATTTACTTAATTCTTATAGTTTTCTACACAGATCGAAAGATGAATATAATCAAATAAGAAACCTGGAATGGAGCGGTAAAATGCATCAGCCACATGATCCGGATGCCTCCTAATGTAGGCAGCTTGTCCACTATAAGCCAAAAGAAGGCAAGGAAACACGATTACTGTAAAAGCAATTTGCACAGCTGAGACCGGAAAATGCGATAGATCAGCGAAGAGTGCTTCGATTCCTGTCAATTTCATGGGAATGGCAAGAAAAAAAAAAGAAACAATCAAGATCAAGAAAATATGAATAGTCCAAGAGCAGAACCAGCCACATCTTGTGTTCTTTACCTGTTATACTAAGCATAATGCCTCCAAGAGAGGTCCAGCGATCCCGACCGCCTCTTTTGAAATACCGGTATATATAAACTGGGGAGAAAGCTTTCAAGACGCTAGTGTCGTGCTTCCAGATATTGTACATACCAATACTTGCAATAGAGAGGAACCAGAGAAAAACAATGGGCGCAAAAAGCCAACCAACCTTGTCTGTTCCATAATGCTGTACACTAAACAAGCTGACTAATATCACAACAGCAACAAAAACAACAACACCTGTAAAAACAACCACATACTTATGATTATCATAGATATCATATGTTTCAAGATGAAGTTGAACGCCTGCAAAATGCTAACATATACCATTGCTTATGTGAGGAAGGTTTACTCTTAACCCACCAGCAGCTGAGAGAACTGCAAAAGATATAAAAATACAAATGAATATTGACTAAAACACATAACTATAAGAAGTAGTTGAGTAAATGTAAAGGTAAAAAGGAAAACAAACAATGGAGGTTGCATACCCGAAATGGCTGGAGTAAGGATTCCATCGCCGATGACCATACAGGTACCAACAAGAACTAAAATAAGAAGAGCAGTTTTTCTAGAAGTATGCTTTTCTAACCACCTTTTGGTTTTGGCAGCAAAGGAATGCTCATGAAACGTAGTACGGCTGTAAGTAGTAAGCTCTTCATCAGTGCGGTGCTGGTTCTGAATTGTCTTCACTTTGGCATGTCTACAGAGTAATGAATACAGCGCAAAAGTCCCACCTACAACAAAAATCAAGTCAGTAACACACCAACATGGACCCAAAAAGGAGAAGCTTGTGGAATTGGTTCATAATATATACCTTGACCGTTATCATTTGCTTTACAAACAACGAAAACGTATTTGAGAAGAGGGATGAGTGTGAGTGAATAAATGATGAGAGATAGAGCTCCAATGACATCTTCAGGATCTTTGATCCCATGAGGAAATGTATTGTAGAAAACATAGAGAGGAGAAGTCCCCAAATCTCCATATACAACACCGAGGCTCTGAAACGAGAGCTGCAGAAGCAGAAGAGCCGAGAATTTCTGCAAAAATGTTGTTACAGTAATGTCATCAAAAAGTCTTCATTAATTAATAGTCTGATGAATAAATAAATAAAAACTCATCAGAGAAACAATAAGAATAAAAAAAAGAAAAAGTGAATACCTTTTCTCTGTACATGTTTCTGAGTCGACCAGCTTCTTCATCCATAGATTGATCAAGCTTCTGGTCCAAATCCCACATGCTACCTCTCTCATCACTCTCTTCTTCATCAATCTCACCACCCATTGTTGCTGCTTCTACTTTTGCCGCCATTTATTATACTAACTTCTTTTTTTTAATTATTCTAACACATCAAAGCTCCTCCTTTACAAAGCCCAGATCTTTTACAACCAAAACCTGAATTTGGCTTCGAATATTCAAAAAAACTGGGAAATTTCACAAAAAAAAAAGAGCAGACTTTTGAAGAAAAAAGGAAAAGTTCCCAAAAGAGGAATGTCGTAAGAGCTAACTATACCAATCAAAAACTCATAAAAGAGCCAAAACTGAGAAAAGAGATGGAATAGTATAAGGTAAAGATCCTGATTATTAACAAGCAGCCAAAGATAATTTGGAAAATGTAACAATCAAACCAAACCAATTCATAACTTGTACAGTAATAATAATAAACCCCGATCAAAACAAAAACAATAAAGAGAATTCCAAAAACCCCGACACTATTTCTATGGTTTATAAAACATAACACATAACGAACTGCAAACACCAAAAAGAAAAAGAAAATAAGTCTTTTTTTTTTTATGTATAAGAAGTAGATTCTTACAGTGTTCACCAAAAAAAAAACCAAAAAAAAAAAAAAAAGAAGTAGATTCTTACAGTTTCATTTGTGGGTCCTGTTCGATTCAGGACCATCGAATATATAAAACAATCTAATCTCTTGTTGAATATTCAAGCAGCCCAAAAACGAAGATTGTTGAAGTTACCAGAGGAAAAGGAAAGCAAAAAGAAAAGAAGAAGAGCTCTGTGTTTTGTCTGAGAATTGAGAAAAGAAAGGAAGAAAACGCAGGAGAGAGCTGCGTTTTTGTCTTCTCTAGCTCTCCGTCTGTAACGTAACTAATGAGAGTTGCTTTCAAAGAGAGAGAGAGCTAAGAAAGAGAGAGAGAGAGAGAGAGAGAGAAGAAGAAGTACTAGTACATATGATTCTGAATTCTTCTGACAGAGATGAACATGGTGAGTTCTTCTATTATTATTATATTTGTATTATAGTTATCAACCCATTTTTTATTATATAGTTTTCAGATTGGAAAGTACAATTCTTTTACACACACACAAAGTACTCTTCATTTTATTTATCAGGGGGGGGGGGGGAGGAATATTAACTTCTAAAAGGTAACAAAAATATTTGAGATTAACATAGTTTTATAAATTAAAAAAAAAAAAATTAGTATGAAATTTTTTTATTGTAGTGCCTATACCACTGGATCAATCAATTATATAACTATCATTAAAGAGAATTATCCTATTTTCTTCAATCGACAGAAAAAAAAAATATTAAAGAAAAGGTTGGTACAAAGAAGAATCTAAAAATGATATAAAAGTAGTGGTTCGTGGTGCTAGTAGTGCTTTTATTATTATTTATCATCAGTTGAATTCAAGTATACATTTGATGTATGGTGTTGACAAAAATAAAATTTCAAGTTCCTAATAATTACGTATCAGTATAAAAATTGATTGGTAACGTAAAACGTAACGGGTCAACGGAACTCATCAACTGAAAAAGAAAAGATAACGGGATGATTTTGTCAGACGAGTCTGTCAGCTTTTCATAATGTTACAAATTAAATTAAATAATTAACGACATGTTAAATTTAGGTATTAAAGTTCCGAATGGTAACCATACCGCACTACAAAACCGCACCGCAACAGTGTTGTAACAGTGTCAAAATATCTGCATATACATAAATATCTATATATTTTTGTTACTATTTGCACTGCACCGCACTTCTCCGCGGTAAAAAAACGCAGTTACTATTCGAAACCTAAATTGTTGTAAAACAATAAATCAAGGTATTTAAATCTTGGATCCATTCCTCTCTCGAATTTTCTTCTATAGTTTATATGCACATCTCGATCTAAATACCCAACATCTTTACAAAAAAATTATTTGTTAAATATTTGCCTGCGTCATAATTTTTTTTATTAACCAATTGGACCAACCACAAATTAAAACATTCAGTCATTCACAAATGATTTAGAAAATTTCACTAAAGGTAAATTTTATTGTTTTCACCTATCTAACAAAAGCAATATTTTTATCGTTTTAATTAGCAAAAACAAGATAACAGTAATTTTGGGTTAGATTTTAATTGAAAGAAGCTACTGGATTTTTTATTTTTAATTTATTAAAAAGAAGCATAAGATTTCTCCAATCATTTTTGTATCTTACATATATACATATTTTGGTATTGGTTGCAAATGATTGATTTGGTAGATAAATTATATATGGTCGTTAACTTGCTTTGACCTTACTTGTAGAAAAAGACATATGTATATATGACCGGGTAAACAAAGTAATTTGTCCATTTTAAGTAACCTTGTATCCATTGACCCCGTACTTACCCTTTTCGGCAACTATAATTAATTTACTAAGTCCAATTCCAAATTATTTATTATATTATATGACCCTAATTTTGAAAAATGTTGACACTTTTGCTGTTAAAAAATAACATTCAAAAGATTCACAATACAATTCATTTCTCTATGGACTGATATATATATTAAACTATATTATTTCATGCCATTATTTAAGCATCAGAGAATCACGATGAGAATGAAGTTGTATCATGTACATGGAGGGTAATACATATATTCTTTGTCATAGCATTTTATCGACTAGGTCAATGATTCACGAAGACAACTTTCAATTATTTATTCCGTTCAATATAACGAACTGTAATTATCTTGATTAAAAATAAAATTACGCGGACAACTGGACGATGCGTAACGCTGAACCAAGTATTCCTACAAGAGTCCATACCTTTTAATTTGGTTGTACATATATATATATATATATGCACATGAGATTTTGTTTTCTTTTGTAATAAAACTCCCATCACATGGCTTTCGTTAAAGTCTTTGTTGTTCCAAAATAGTGTATATATAGATTGATCATAGCAACACTATTCAACATTAAAGCCAAAAAAGATATAGATTACTGGATTTTCGATTATATCTCTTAGCTAGTAGTCGATACATATATATATTCTTAAATGTGGACTATTTTTATGAAGTATCAACACGCCACGCCATTACATTATTTCGGAATTCATCAAGCTAGAGCTAGTTGTGTAAGCGAGAGATGCATGCAACGTATACTACGTCGTGGAATATACGTGTGTGTGTGTGTGAGAGAGATGGAATTAATATGGTATCACAGTATAAACTAATAATAAAAATAAAAATATTCTGAATATCGATCGTTTTATGTTTTGCTAGATGATAGAAACTTCTTAAATTTCAATTATAATCGAATATTGTCATTTATATCCCTAGATTACCAAACAATTGATCATTTTGCCTTCATATACAATTCATTTATGATCATATACATATATATGTGGCTACAAATTAGTTTTTCTTTCTCCTTTTTAATGAAAAAAAACAAATTATGTTAATGCCGATGTATTGTAGAAATGATAATGCGAAAGGTGCGCGCACCCACGTGGTTGTATGCTAAATATAAACAATACGACAGCTGGTACGGATAACTAATGATGTATATATGTGGTCCTAGCTCGTCCAAACACACACCAATCCGAAAGTGTTGTTTTTTCTTCTTCTTCTTCCAAATTATATATAAGAGATTCGAATTAGTACTAAACATTCAAATTTGTAATCTAATGTTTAATGTAAAGTGCTTACCAAAGATTCTAAATACCACACAATTTATCATATAATGGATTTCAAGATTTAGAGAAATACACGAATCCAAAAGAGTCAAGATGTAAATTACTAAAGAATATTGTAAATATGAAAAGTTTAGATGTACTTAAATGTAAGTGCAAAATCTCTAGTAGATAGCTTTTTCTGATATGTATCCAATCATTAGTAATAGTTTAATTTGTTTATGGTATATCAGAGCTAAAAACATTTAATCAACCTATATATGTATGTACGTACGTACTTCTTTCTTTTGGCCATCGATCAAACCAAGTACGTATGTTAATCTTTAAATCCAATCACCAGTTGAGATTCTCAGACCGATGAGACTGACTATATCAATCAAGATGATCCGAAGAATATATAAAATTTCCAGCCATTGCTCATTGACGCTAACATAGTAAAAAATGGGGTTTTGTCAAATTCATGTTCTTTTGTGGTTATGAACTATATATATAGCCGAAAACATTGATGCATCAACAACTTCAACAACCACATTATACTATATATATAATCTCTGCCACAAGCAACAACTTCGACAACCATGGTTGATATATATATATATTCAAGCTCCTCTATGGGTGTGATCATTTCATCGTATAACAAACCTTTGGTGTCATGTTCCTCCACATATCCTCTCATTTCTTGTGGATGATGTGTGTCTCTAATCTCGCTCGTCCTTTTTGGAACATGCTAGATATGCTTTGATTTGGTATTCTTTTGCGTTTCCCATCCAAAAATCTGGATATATTCATAACTGATAAAAATTAAAACATCATACAAGTATAGTATTGATTTTTCTGTGAAACAAACCACATTTATTTTTAGAAATTTATGGTATTCGTTAGAATTTTTCTGTGAATTGCTAGCTATCTATATTAGGTTTTTTCCCTTTTGCCTTAAAATGTGACCGACCATACTTTGAAGAAAATTTAGAAAAAAAAATCAGAATTATCTTTCCCCACATTTGTCTAGATTATGTTTGGTCCATGATTGCAAAAAGAATAATATATATCCTGATTAAATTAAGAGACATAATAATCGATATACAATAAACTTATTTGTTCAGACGACAAAAAATAAATAAAAAAGAAAGGTATTTGTACAAAGTTCATTTATTTATGTCGTGTATTTATTCGTACGTGTTTTCGTGATCGCAGCTGCAATTGGTTTTGGCATACTATGTGAATGTGATGTATGTGTGATCAGTGTGAGTTTGATGTGATGCCATATATTATGAAAACACAATATCACATCGGATTTTTAATAACACGTAGCACGATCTTACTGGTGATGGATGACCCATGTCCCTGCAACGATGTCGCGGGGCATATCTACAATTGAAACTCCACATTTTTATTTTTTACTCAAATTTATGTTTTAACACCGTTACAAAATATTTATATAGACTTTCTGTTTATTTGACCTTTAAATATTAATTCTATATTGTGGTTTTCATTATTTTAAAATATTAATAATTATTTTCAGTGCTATTTTGACTTTGGTTAAAATTATTTGTGGTAAAAATTATTCTTTTTATAATAATTTCCCTTCAAAAATTATTCTTTTTGGGATAATTTCCCTTGAATTTTTTTTTTTTATATAGTTCCGGATATTTCTAGAAATCTTTAGATTGAGTCAAAAAAATATTTCGTAATAAATAATTTGAATTGCACCAAAAGAGGAGTAATGGGATTCTTGTAAACCTAGTTGTTTATATCATCATAACGATAGGAGGCGAGGTTGAGAAGAATATTTCCTTGTGAAGCAAGCCTCTTCTTTCTCTTGGTCATAAGGTAGGGTTTCTTCACGTCTTCAAACATCCGAAGAGTAAAATCGATTATTCACTCCTTCCACACGGGCACTAGAGTCATGGCAATGCTTAAGCGCGCTATTAGCATCGGAAGAAGCGGAGGAGGTCTGAGTTATCGTTCACTTTCTTCCGGGAAGTCCAAATCTCTCCACCATGTCGATACATTAGGAATGGTTAAGGCTCTTGAGGCGATCAACGTACCCTCGACACAAGCGGAAGCAATAACCGGCGCCTTCACCAGTGGCCTTGAGTCAGTGATGGAGAAGGTCAAATCCGACATCGCCAAATCCGAGGCAACTCTTCTTTTCCAAACTTTCGTTAATTATAATTAGTACTACTTGTCTAACTATTATTGTTTTCTTGTATATCTCTTGCGTTGTGAACTTAAATTTAGAAACTGTTACGGTATCTTGTAGTGTTGATGACAAGTATCTAAGAAGTAGCGATGTGTTTTTTTATATCTTGTGTTGTGAACTTATCTTTAGAAACTGTGTTACGGGATGTGATGATAACCTCCAACGAAACTGATCTCCATGCCGTGAGTTACTCTTTAGTTTTCTTCTCACTAGCTAGGAATGGTAGAAGATATGTTCTTTCCAACTAAGTGTCCTTGATTGTCTCTTTGTGCAGGAGTATCAATCAACTCGTATTGCAGAAGAGGTTCGAATGCTGCGAGCCGATATTGCTACAATGCAAGCCGATCGGAGGTATTTTGACTCAGCTTTTTAATATTTGTAATTTGTCCCATTTAAACTAATTAGCTGACCTTTCATTTGGAACAGGTGTGATCATGATATCCTCATACACAAAGTTGACCAGGTATAGTTTTTTTTTTTTTTTTGCAATTATATGGTTTCTTTTCCTCTATTCATTAATCTATATCACACTAGTGACTTTAGGTTAGTAAAATCAGAAATCAGAAGAAGTAATACATGTGTTTTGGGTATTTCAGGGTTTTACTCAGTTGAAATATGAGTTCCAAGCATCACATTATGGAGTCTTGAAGGTTGCTATATGTACAATTGCTTCTGTGACAGCAACTGGGGCCTGCATCGTATTCTTGTTGTGACCGACGAAAATCCACCGACTCAAACATATCGCATAACTAGAATAACTCGTGGACTTTTTGGGTTTTGTGCTTTTTCTTATTTTCATAAGATTATAAGAAGTCACTTTTGAAAGTTCAACTTTTCCACTTTCACTTTTATATATATATATATATATTAGTCAGGTTTCCACTTTCCACTTTCCACTTTCCATGTGTTTATGAATAATTGGTTTGTATTTTATTTTTTATTGATTTTTTCAGCTATATTATATTTTCTTTTTTAATTTTAGATTGTATTTGTATAGGAAATTTATTGAGTTTTATCTTCATTAGTACTTGATAAATTAAGTGTGTCTACTATAAATCAATGTATAGATCTAAACGGAAGTACCATGGAGAATTATACAAGAACATGTGTTTTAACAAATTAAGTATTTAGCATAGATTGATGAGTGGGTGTAAACGGAAGTGTCGTGGAGCATCATAAAATAACATGTGTTATTAGGATTCCTACCCAGTACCAAATATAGATCTAGATGTTAATTTTGTAGGCCTTTTAATATGTTGGCCCGAAAGTAGAAACTGATTTGTGGGTTTCGGGGGGATTGTTGTATTTTTTTTTGTTACATTATTTCTTTATATATTGTCATAATTTAACTTTTTGTTTTAAGTTTTTTTTTTTGGTTTTGACGTAATTTATATCTCGTTCTGATCATTTTTATACTATTATATATTCGTTCTGGTTTTTTGTTTAATATTTTTTTGTATTTTAATATTGAACAATTTTAAAATTTAACATATTAGTATAATTTGCTTTATATTTAGTTCAATTTTTTAATTATGTTTTTAAAAAATTTTAATTTTCAATTTTTATGAAAGATTGTGAATTTTTTATTTTGTTTATTAGTTTACCATAAGTGATCTATTGAAACAAAAATAATTAATATTGAAACTTTTAAAGAAATATTATTTTTGTTGTTACTATTTTTATATGTGTTTTTAAAATGAGAATTAGTAAGTTTTTTTATTTTATTTTTAAATCAATTATATTTTTGTTTTATAATATAAAATATAGAGAAATTGATACTAATAACCTTTTTATGATACCATCTTTTAAAAATACCCTCTTTTTTTACCATTTTCATTTTTGCCCTCTCTTAAATTTTAATGGCCATTTTACCCTTATTTGAAAGAATATTCTTTCCCAAAGGAAGGAATATTTCTTCCTTTGATTTCCCGCCAAAATTTTCCTGCCAAAAATTTTTTTTTTCAAAATTTTCCCGCCAAATTTTTTTAAGGGTTTACAAGATTTTTTAAAGAGTCTTTTAAAGGGTTTAAAAGGGTTTTTAAAGGGATTTACAAGAGTTTGTAAATGGTTTTTAAAAGATTTGTAATGGTTTTTAAAGGGTTTTAGAAGCTTACAAAGGTTTTTAAATAGTTTTTAAATGATTTAAAATGGTTTTTAAAAGTTTTTATAAGTTTATAACAGTTTTAAAATGATTTACAAGGATTTTTAAAGGATTTTAAAAATTTATAGAAGTAACTCCCTATATCTCTCCTTGTCATCATTTCTTCCCAAAAAGTTTCTCCTCCCACTTGATTCTCTGTTCATTTATCTTCATCAGACGCAGCTTCCTATTCCTGGCTTTAGCTTCTTCAACTTCCTCGTGCCTGCCCTCTACTTCAGTCTGAATATCATCCAAGATCTTTACTCCACTGTAAGCACCCCAGAAGCCAAAGGTGGAAGCTATCACCAATGACCAAACACGTCCCCCAGTGCTAGCTTTTTCTTCATCTCTGCAGAAATCAAATAAATTTCAGCAACTATAACTAGTATAAACCCAAAAATTGTCAAAAGAAACAAAAAAAAGGAACTTTACCCACGAATATTGAGTGATACACAGGAAGAGTCTAAAGGACGAACTTTGTTATCTGCAAATTTTCCGGTTCAAAGAACAGAGCTGAAGAGAATAATTCCAACTCCATTAAGCAATGATTAGAAAACTAGTAAAAAATATAAGGCCACAGAGAAAGAAGAAGTGTACCCACGAAATCACAAGACGATTCAAACGTACGGACTTTTTTTATCTGAGAAGTTTACGGGCGAAAAGAAGAAATGCTGCAGAGAAAAATAACCCAAATCCAATCACCAAATGATTAGAAGAACAAGAGAAAACATAACCACGAGAAAGAAGAAGAAGTCTTACCCAAGAAATCACAAAAGGAGTCAAACGAACGGAACTTATTATCTGAGAAATTTACCGCGTAAGAACAAATGCTGCAGGGAAAATCCCCAATTCGATTAAGAAATGATTAGAACTAAGAGAAAACAAATTCACAAGAAAGATCAAGAAGCGGTACCCAGGAGAAGCAGCGAAGATTCAGAAGAACTGACGTTGTATATTTTCCGGGAAAAAAGAACAGACTGCAGAGGAAATAGAATCCATATCGATTGAGGAAAGTTCGAACTAATATAAACTTGAAGATCTTCGAAAGAAGATACGCTATCCAAATGCTTGATTCACAAGAAACGAGTTAAAAAGTACGGACTTTGATTTCCGGGAAAACATCGCAGAGAAAAACCCAAAATTCGTTAAAGAAATGAGTAGAGGAACTTAAAGAAAACATATGGCATCGAAAGAAGAAGAAAAGCGTTACCTACGAAACTCTTGCGTCGCAAGGAAGCGTTCCTTCAACCTCAGCTTCTTTTCCCAACGTCGTGCTCTGGTGTCCTCGCTTGCTTCTTCGATTCTGTACAACTCTAGAACGAATTCAGTATAAGATAATCTGATATTTTCAGAAGATTGAATTCGCAGATGAGAATCACGGAAACTACTCAATCGAGTATCACAGAGACAAATGAGACGAGACGAGACGAGAGTATATATACTGAAACTCCAAGGCTCTGTTCTATCCCGATAGTTAAAAACGTCGTCGTTTACTGACATTTTAATCATCCCAAACCGACCCGAACCAGGTTCTTTCTTCATTCAATTCGAAATTGAATTAATAACCAATGATAAAACTGACATTACAATCCCAACGTTTATGTAAAGAATTAAGATTAAAGATTTAGGGGTTGTATGTTGAATTTGATATTTTATAAGATTTTTAAGTATTTTTTTTTTAAATCACATGTTATCCAACTTTTGATTTTTGAATCTCTTTTGTCTTTTTAAAACTACTGTTATTGAATTTGGAATTTCTTTTGAAACGTTCAAAATAATTTACAATCTCTTGTTATTGAATAAATGAGTTTGGATTGGACTCTCATTTTTACCATTGGTTATAATTTATAATTATGATATATGTTTGTCGTTCTTCATAAGATTGACCATTTTTTTTTTTTGACGCTATCATAATATATAGGTTTGAGTTTTCACTTTTCAGATTTGGATTGAATATTTTGGATTTGGCTATTTTGGGTTTAAAATTTTAAAATTCATTCATTCGAATATTTTTAAATTTTAGGTTCAGTTTGGATTAAGGTCGGATTTTATGGGTTCGGATTATCTAAAGTATTTTTAAAAATCTAAACTTTTGTGTCCAAACCTATCTTAACTACTCGAAAATATCCAAAGTGTCTAAGATTTAAGACTATATTTTACCTTAATATACTTACATGTAACTATTTAAAATGCTTGAAAACTTGAATATTAAGCACATAAGTTATTACACGTAATGAATATTACTAATATATTATTACTATGTATTTTTATGTTTGGACATGTTCGGATATCCATTTAGATTTCGGTTTGGATCGGGTACGGATTTTTGGATCTTGAATTTGAGAATACGTTTGGATATTTTCAATTTTCGGATTCGGATTTGGATATATTTTCAATTAATACTCATCAATTAACATTTTTAAAAAAGCTAGGTAATGACTAACGAATCTGCAAACCAAATGTTTATAACTTTCACTTGTCAAATATATAAGGATGATTTACCAGTGACCAATTTCAGAAGTTCACAAATAATATGACATTCTCTAAATATTGGCAGAACTAGCTTGTGTGTTGTTTTTAGCTTTTATGACATGTACAGTAACAGGGTAGAAATGAATGGTAGTTGGGTCCGTATAAAATGTGACACTATCAAGGACAAGAAAACTAATAGAATCTACAGACGAAGAATGATTTCAAACATTCTTCCTTATGAATCTGTTGCCATGCGTATGCTCTTGTCTTCCTTCCTTATAACCAGACAAGTTAAGCCAGGGGAGGCAAATATTTGCTTCTGTAAGTCTCGAAGGTCAAGAAAGTTGAGATGGAGAGAGTTGAAGTTCCTCCAAAACCCAAAAGGTCTTTTTCAGTAGACAAAGAGATTGTTTAACTGGAAGTGATTAGACCAGTGAGGTTTGTGCATAGACATGAGCAGTTAGGTTCGGTTAAGTTTCTTAGGACGAGGCGTCTGTCGCGATTACTCATTAGCTTAATGAGCGGTAACTTCTGCGAGACTTGGCGCCAGATTTCCTTCACTGCGCCATTTGGGTTATCATAATCAAAATACCGTTTTACCTGTGTGCATTGCAAATCATTCGGGTATGAGAAACATGCCAAGTTATGTAAGAGAGTCAAATATTTGAAGAGGTCAGAGGTTGAAAAGAAGGAGACATACTGATCTCATCTCTCTCTGATACTCCAGGATCTTCTTGGGTTTTATTTTCCTCAGCATCTTAACCAGAAATCCGGGATGCAGAGCTGCATTAGCCTCAACAAAAATCGAAAACTTTCTATAATCTATAACGTCTTCGAAAGGTAACTCAATGCTATCGCTAACAATCACGGGCACGCACAAACTGACAATGGAGTCAAAGAGTCTGCAGGCGGATGGTGTGTCACCAGCAGGATTCAGACAGAACTTTGACGTATGCATTCCTTTCGTAGCAGCTCGTCGATTTTCCCTGGATTGAGTTCCATGTTTTATTGTTACATCTTCTTCCTTTTCAAGGACTTGGAATAGCAAATCACGAACTTTTCCACCCTGAAGACACCCAAAGAAGCAAGCAGTCAGAAAGA